AATAAGCAGGCAACAGGGCAGGGCTGGGCCCAGCTTCAGGGTTGACTCAATTCAGTAACTCAGCAGTGTCCTAGGGCATCTTAGTCCAGCCCAGGGAAGCACAACTTGGTCTAAGAACATGTTTCTCCCTGGGACCTTTTCTTGTTTTTAAATAAAAGATGTTTTAGGGACATTTGTCAGAACTTGAAATGGACCTAGGACTAGATGGATGTCTTCCTTAGCTGTGTTGCGACTATGTATGACAATATCCCTGTTTGTAGAGAACACACAGGAAAGTCTTAAGACAGTGGGGCTGTTAGGTCTTCAACATATGCTCAAGTATTTCCCACGTAGGGAAAAATAGTTGTTTTTTATTTACAGCATTTTTGTGTGAAATGATTTCATTTTTCAAAATAAAAAAACTTATTGGCATGCTGGCGCCACTGCTCACTAAGCTAATCCTCCACCGTGCGGCACCAGCACACTAGGTTCTAGTCCCGGTCGGGGCGCCGGATTCTGTCCCGGTTGCCCCTCTTTCAGCCCAGCTCTCTGCTGTGGCCAGGGAGTGCAGTGGAGGATGGCCCAAGTGCTTGGGCCCTGCACCCCGTGGGAGAAAAGCAAAAGTACCTGGCTCCTGCCATTGGGCCCAAGGACTAGGACCGGCAGCCATTAGAGGTGAACCAACGGCAAAGGAAGACCTTTCTCTCTGTCTCTCTCTCTCACTGTCCACTCTGCCTGTCAAAAACAAACAAACAAACAAAATGAAAAACTTATTGGCAACACCTTAATCACATTTATAACCATTTTGTAATGATCTTATTATTATTTATATAATGTAGTAGTTACAGACATGTAAATAGAATACCACGTCTGGAAAAAAGCCCTTGAGAGTTGCTCAGGCATGGAAAGCCAAGACACTGTGGGAAAAAAATGACCCAAATGAAAGATCTCTGTGAGTGAGATCCCAGCAGAAAGAATTGGCCATTAAAGAAGGAGGTACCTTTCTCTGAAGGGAAGAAAGAACTCCCACTTTGACTATGGCCCTGCCTAAATAAGGTCAGAGTTTGTGAACTCAAGAGGCTTCCATAGCCTTGGCAGCTCATGTCAATTGTTAAATAACAATGGGAGTCACTGTGCACCTACTGCCCATGTAGGATCTCTGTCCTTCATATGTTAAACTATGCAAAATAACAGTAAAACTACTATTCAAACAGTACTCTATGCTTTGCGTGTCAGTGTGGGTACACTCTGTTGAAATCTTTACTTAGTATATACTAAGTTGATCTTCTGTATATAAAGATAATTGAAATTGAATATTGATGAAGAATGGGATGGTAGAGGGAGTGGGAGATGGGATGGTTGTGGGTTGGAGGGAGGTTATGGGCGGAAAAGCCGCTATAACACATAAGTTGTACTTTGCAAATTTATATTTATTAAATAAAAGTTGAAAAAAAAGAGAATACCACGAAAGTTGGTGTCACCCACAGACAGGTCTCTTTTATTACCCAGGGACTGAACAGGCTGTGCCTACACCCCCTTGTTCTAGCCCTTTCATTGCCCTTTGGCATTTATCAGCATGGCCAATGAAGTCAGATCTGATTACCTTTGTGAGAATTTCTGGTTCTGCCTTTCACTATGGAAGCCTGGATTAGCAGAAACTAGCATGCTCCTACTCCCACCTGCACCCCCAGCACCTTCTCCACAGGAAGGTGCCAAGATCACATCACCTGGGCAGGAGCTCTGAGCTGCCCTCGGTCCTCTGCAGCAGGTGGTGGAGGAGCCCGGGGAGAAGTGCATGTATGAAGCTCGCAGGTCTGGGTGAGGGCACCTGCTGTGTAGTGCGTATCCCTGCCATGCCCTTCTCTTCTTTTCCTCACTGGCACTGGGTGGAGATATTGTCTGACCCAGATCCCAGACTCCCTGTGTGCATCACCAGGAGAGGGAGTCTCCACCCCCCATCAAGCCAGCACTTGTGCACTGGGAGAGATATCTTAGACCCCAAGAAAGCATGGACACAGCTTTGAACCCCTTTGTCTCACATCTCTACCTTGGCTCCAGGAATCCCAGCCTGGCTCCGTTGCAGGGCAAGTGGAAGCAGCTACCTCAGCTTCAGTGCACAGGAATCAGGGTACGCAGGGGAGTATCCCTGAGGCAGGATTACAGATGGCCAGAGCATGGTGGTGCAGCCTGGAAGAAAACCTCCTGCTGCTTGTCCTGGGACCTGAACTTCATAGGAACTTGATTGTGGCAGCCAGGATCCACTTTCAGAGAGATGCAATTCCAAACAGAGCAAACTCTACTAGGTGGAGGCATCAGTGTGAATACTGTGATTACTCTCATTCTTTCCTCCTCACTGTACTTTTGTAACTTCTGCCAAGCCTATCTGTCACTGCACTAAAGCAAGAGAAGGGAGCTGTGACTGCACAGGGCCCAGACTGAGCCTCTGCTAAGGCAGCCCTCCATGGGTGATGATAGGAGGAGGTTCTTAAATGCCTCGGCTCCCTCAGCTCTCAGGTAGAACAACCCCAGAGGCAATTGCCCTGTGCTCACAGGTGTACTTGAGCTTCACTCATCACGGGTATGAGTGCCTTACCCGAGAGTCTTATATTCACGTTCTATTCCCTGTTTCTCTTTCCTGCGGCCTTCCAGGGTTCCTGCATCCCACAAAGGTAGTGCCAGCACCAGAGGCCTTGCCTTGTATGGACCCTCATAATACAGTGGACAAGTCTTTATTTTGGAGTACATCTGTGGCTCCAATTCTTGTCACTTCTCCTTTGTTAAAGCATAGAATAATTCAACACATTCAGAAGCATTTAATCTATCATCTCTTACAATGGATTTAGATGCTTTCCTTTAGGTCTCCAAAATAGCTGTGTACCATGAAGTCTACAAGGTAGGCAGCAGAACAAGAAACCACCCAGCCCCTAAGACCTGCAGCTCCCCTGGCCCCAGACTCTCAGACTTCTTCCAGTTCCCTGGCTTCATCAGTCTTCATTGTGATTTTATCCTATGTCAGCAGGAGGGAGTGGTAGGAATAAGAGTTGAAGGGGAAGTGGTGGAGAATAATACCCATGATACAAAAGCTACCCAAATCCCAGGAATGATACCTTTTATGGCAATGGAACTTGGGAGATGTGGCTAAATGAAGGACTTTGAAATTGAGGGGTTACCTGGGAATATCCAGGTAAGATCATCGAATCACAGAAGTCCCTCTAATAGGAGAAGGACTCCAGGCAGGGAGGAGATGTGATAATGGAAAGGGATTTTGGAGAGATGGTGGGAAGGGGTTGTGGAGCAGGGGATTGGGAGCATCCTGAAACTGAAAAATCAGGGACTTCACACCTTTGCAACTGGAGCCTGCAGAAGGAACATGCTCCTACAAACTTGCTGATTTTAGTTCGGTGAGAATGCTAACCTACAGAATGACACAGTCCTCAATGTTTGTTGTTTGAAACCAGCGAGATTTGGGGCAAGGTTAGAGCAGCAATAGGAAGCTAATAGGAGAGCAGAGAGAATGGGTGGATGTCCTGATTTCCCAAATGCATCCATCATGTCATCACTGGGTGACAATGTTGGTAGGAGATGGAGAATACCTTGTTGTCAGGTGTTTGGTACCACAGTGCTTCTTTGGTGGAATATCTGTCGGGTAAAACGTTGTGATAGGCTCTTGTGCTCTCTGGGAGTGTGGGAGCCTGGCCCACTCTGGCGGATTGTGAGAGGACCTTGGATGGATCAGGAACTCGTGGTCCTCAGCCCCATGAAGGGAGTATGTGGGCCTGCCTCTAACACAATCCACCGTTGCCTCTTAGGAGAATATTTTCCATTCATTCTGGACAGCATGTTTGGTGCGGGGTGACCAGCGTGACGAGAGGGACTTGCTTAGCTGAAGTATGGGCATGACTACAACTTTAGTTGTGTTGTGTTCATGAAGCATTTTGAAATGTTTTCTAAAGTTTTCTATGAATAGCAATTGTATGGGCTTATCATGGATGATGGGAGGAATCCTGAAATTAGAAAACTGATGGTCACTTATCTCTGTGATATGAACTCAAAATCAAGAGTTTGTCTGTGTGCTCCTTCTCTGCTCTGCTACTTCTGAGGACAGTTAGGAAAATACGCTTTTGCACCTTCTTCTTACACTGCCCCCTCCAGGGCAAGCTCCTGAGATTCAGGGAGATGTCTCCAAATGGGTTCCAAGGAGGAGGGATGCCACTGGGGACCCACAAGGCTCCGTATGAATACAGGTTGGCATGTCTCCTGGGACATCTGGTTTTCTGATCTGGACTTTGATCAATGGGCAACTCGGCACCTGGAAGGAGCAAGAAACCAATAAGCCCTCATGGACACCACAAGGCTAGAACATGAAGTGAGCACCCATCTGGCTGACTGTGGGATGGCTTCAGTCCCAGGCTCTGGAGAGAAGCTCTGGGAACAGGGCAGCATCACGGGACGCTCTCAGTGTAACCTGAGGTCTTGTGAGGTCAGAAGCAGCCCTGTCTCATCCAGCCTGGCCTGGGAGCTGCAGGTGTAGTGAGCCTGCCAGTCCTGGGAAACTCCTGGAGAGGAGCTCCATCTCAGGACTCAGGGGTGAAAAGGATTCTGCGAGAATCTGTGCTTACTTTTCCCCTGGGAGCGTGGGCTCAGTGCCAGGACAGCCTTCCCAGATAATTAGCTGCCCAAACATGTTCTCCTTGTTGCTTCAGTCAGAAACTAGGGACTGTGTGGCATCTTCAAGGTGAGCTTCCTAGCCAAGCTCCTCTGCCTCGCAGGGATGGATGTTTCAGAGTGAACCCGATTTCTCCTGCAGATCGTGAGCTGCTACTTGAGCTTTAGACACAGCGATCGTGTGTCCAAATGTGCTTCAGAAATTACCATGCAATATGTGGAGTAATTTTCCCTGAAATATTAGAGACCAAGTCACAAGTCCAAGGCCACGTATGAGGTAGAGATGCCAATAGCCTTGAAGCTCTCTTCTGCTTCCCTGAGTATCCTGGAGTGCTTTGCCCAGGCTCCCACCTCAAGTCCACTCCCTCTGTAGAGCCTCACAAGGTTCCTGTTCAGTCTATGAAGAATGAACTTGCCCACCAGCCCCTCAAGCTGGGGCTGGGCTCCGCTACCTCCCCTTTAATAGATTGTGCCCGAGCATATCATTGACAGCCATTTCTATCTGGCTTCTTGTACAAAGGAAAAGCAGGGAAGTCCCAGAGTTCCTACTGTCATGTTTCAGGTTGGCTTTGTTCTTAATAGGAACAGGACAAATGTAGTCTCACCCTTTGAGAGGAGCAACACATGGCATTGCCTGGATGGGTTTCCTCACATGCTGCAGGGGGCAGCTTGTGCTTCCACTGTCTCTGGCGATCCTGGCAGCATCTCTAGATGACTATGACCATCACCTGTAGAAGCAGCAGAGAGCTAGGGACCTAAGGAGGCGCCCAGGCTGCTAATTCTTAGGGCTACTGTGGAGGCTCTTGGAAAAACCCCCTCCAATGTCCAGGGAAGTGACTTTGATATTGTCTTCCCCCTTTGCCATAAATGGAGTGGAAGCTGAAGACTTGGGATGTGTGACTGCCTGCAGTGCTCTGTCAGGTCCCCAAACAAGGACAGCCTTTGAGGGCTGGGGATGGCTGCCCTGTCACCAAGACAGCTGCTCCACGCTGGGAGCACCATCCAATCTGTGAAGGGACTGTGTGGTAGAGGCCCACAGCCTCAGATTCCGTGGTTTACTGACCTTAGGAAGCAGGGCCAGGTTGAAAAATCAATAGCTCACCTTTAGCTCAGTTCTTTGTGCAGAGAAAGGCAGAAGGAGACTGGAACCAAGTTATGATCTCCAAGGATGTGTTGCATGGATTGATTTGTGGATGTTTCCACTATCTATCACAGTGTAACAGATCTCCCCAACAGGTAAAGGATCGAAAGGATGACGTTAAGTCCATGACTTGTGGGTTGCTTGCGCGGCTTCTCTGTTGTTCTGCCTGGGCTTTCATGCAGAGAAGGCATCTGAAGCAGCTGGGTGAGTCCACATTGCTCTCGCCCACATCTCTGCCATTCGGTCCTGGAGATGCTGGTGGGCCGGGTTCCCCTAGCAGCATGTCGAGCGAGAGGGGGAGGAGAAGTCCACACAATGCTGACACTCAGGGTGAATTGGCACAGAAATTCAACTTAACTCTAAAACTTTTCAATTGCCACGCTCTGGTGATTGTGAACAATGTGATGGATGAGATGCCGCCGCCCAAAGGAAGAAGCACTCACACTGCTCATCCTCCCAGACTTCTTGACAGACTCCTGGGGCAGTGTCCTGCCCACAGGCTGGGGATGTGGCGCCCCCACATGTCTCTCAGCTTTCTACAGGCTGTCTCAGTCCAATTAGAGTTTGCCGTCACTCAGCACTGCAGACCAGATGCGCTGTGGGTGCTCATAGAAGAGGGGTGTGGTAGTGGGAGGAGGAGAGGGGCTGCCATTTCAGAGCTGTCCCCAGCCTGTTGCCCTGAGAAGGCCACAGACCTGGCAACAGCCCTGGGCTGGAGCAGCAGCTGTGGCATGTCTGCAGGGGATAAGAAAAGGTGAAGGTGCCCCGAAGTTAGCATGGCTGGTAATGGTTGGAGTGATGTCTGTCCAGAACTGGAGTCTGACCCAGGCAGGCCGTGTGTCTATGGGGCAGTGGGAGCCAGCAGGACACTGAGAGGTGGCCTGGTTTCTGCTGGTGCAGGGCTGGGATGCTGTCAATCTTCTGGAAGGCCCTGCAGCAATCCATGACCTTCTGTCCTGGGGAGGGGAGCAGGATACCGAGACCACGTGAGGTCCCCACTAGCACCTTAACAATCTTACATGCCCAAACATTAATACCAAGCAAATAGGGCCTTCCATTCTACACAGCTCTGATGGGGTGGGGGTGGGGGAGGCCAAACAACCTCATCTTCCAGGAAATATTTGTGTTTAATGTAAGCACACACTGAGGTTGAAACCTGCCTCTCCCTTCCTCCCCAGGGTCAGAGCAGCATGAAAATGAGGAGCCAGTCTGGGTTTCCCAAGGCACGAGTGCCTGTTGAGGCTGATCCTGCTTAGAGAGGGTCAGGAAGGTGTATGGCTCTGTGAGGACTGCCTTGGGTACCAACACACCCTGGGCAGGGCCGCTTAGGCAACAGAAGTTAACTTCTCACAATTCTGGAGGCTAGTGAGTTCAATGTCAGGATGCAGAGGGGTCTGTGTTCCTTTGTTAGCATCCTCTTGTCTGTGTGTCATCATCTGCTGCTGACCTCACCAGCCTTTCCCTCTGTGTGTGGAGTGGGTGGTAGAGCACTGGCTTCTCTTCTTGTAGAAGAGCCATCCTACTGGGTCCGGACACCTCCCCCACCTCCTTCATTCCCTCCTTTAACCCTGATTCCTCCACAGAGGCCCTGTATTTGCATATGGCCACATTGGAGTTAGGGCTCCAACAAAGGGAATTGGGAGACACAATTCATCCTGTGACAGATAGGTTTTGGGGGACACAGCCAAGGCAGTGGGGCAGGCAAGCCAGGTTCCCAGTCTCAGAGCACAGAGTGCATTTTCCCTGCAACCCAACACACTGGCAGCTCCTCCCTTCCTGTTCCTGGTCCATCTGGTGTCACCACTCAAGTAGAGGGGCTCCCTGTTGACAGTGGGGCAGAATCACTCTGACTTCCTCCTCTTTCTGTGATTGGGCCTCTCTCGTTTGTTTTGACTATTTTGTGACAGCATCCTGCTGGATTTGAGAGGTAGAGTACCAAGGATTTTTTTATTAAGGTTTCTCTTGGTTTGTTATTTGAGCTATATATATAGAGAGAGACTGTGGGAGAGACAGAAAGATCTTCCATCTTCTTGTTCACTCCCCACATGACTGCAATGGCCAGGACTGGGCCACGCTGGAACCAGGAGCCAGAAGCTTTATCCTGGTCTCCCACATGGGTGGCAGGAGCCCAAGCATTCAGGCCATCTTGTACTGCTTTCCCAGGCCATTAGTTGGGAGATGGATAGGAAGTGGAGTAGCTGGGGCTCAAACTGGCGCCCGAATGGGATGTCAACCTTCCAGGCGGCAGTTTTACCTGCTGTGCCACAACACCACCCTTTCACATGTTTTTTTATATATATATATATTTAAAAGCAATATTTGTTAAAGTGAGAGACCTCCAGCCAGAGTGGCACAGACATGGGGCTCCAAGAGAGGAAAAACCCAAAGAGGCCCATGGTACTGGGGTTTTAAGCACAATTCTGGGAAGAAAAATCTAGACATTCAGTTACAAGGTGGAGACAAAGCCCACCAAAAGACCTGGTTTGCAATCTTTCATTCTCTCCATCTTGAAAAAAAAAAAAAAAGAGCCATCAGAAGGGGGGGGGTACTTAATTTGCTGTATAGGAAACTGGGTGCTCAGAAGGCATCCCCATTCCCTTGCTACTCTCATGATAAGATTGGAAATTTTCAAGGAGTAGGGCAGGCAGGCACTTTTGGTCTTGCTAAAGCTTTGTACCCTCAATTTCCACTGGGACCACCCTGACTACCTATTAACTCATCTGACTCCTCAGAGTCCTTCCTGCCCCCAGAAGAATGGCCCCTGACTTCTGTTAGGGGAACTGCACAGTGACTGCTCTGGCTGCTTCAGGCTGAAAAGGGGCATCATTCAGAACGGCACCAAGCAGGGTTCCAGCAGGAGGTGGCTTCTTGAGGGGGACACAGTGCCAGCTTGTAGAGACTGCTTCACCTGAGGTTTCATGTGCGTGGCCATCTAGAATTTTTCTGCTTCAAGTCTGGAGAAAACAAATTGAACAAGCAGTTCAAACTCACAGGGTCTAAAACAAAGGACAGAGTCATTATTAGAGGACGTACCAAAGCTGCTGTCTAAACCACAAGGAAGTTTTCCCATTGAGAGGCAAATAGAAACGGACAGAAGGGGCTTGATAATGATCAAGTGGGCTTTAAGGCCTGGCCAGTTATACTGAATTGAATTCTTGGGGCAGTACCCACACAGATTTTGCCCCCTCGTTTTAGTCCAGCTTGGACAAGATAGGGCTTTCCACAGCAAGTTCAGACTACTGCTGAGAAGAGCCGGGGGACACAGAGTCCTCAGGGCCATCACACACCTCTGGGGAGATGGATTTCTAGAACCAGGTGGGTCTGCAAGGCTCCCACCAGCACTGGGGAGGAGCGATGAGAATGAGAGCTGGTGGTGTCTCTCGTCCTTACGGGTGCTGCTTTTCAGAATGTATAGGAACAGTTTTTCCTCAAAAGGGTTACTTTAAGGGGCTTGGAAAACCTCATGGAAAAGGAATTAAAGGACAGCATGTTTGCTGCCAAAGTTCACAGTAAAACTTTGTTAAGTAAAAACTATCACAGGTTCAAAACTGTTTTGTACCTAAATAAGCTTTGAATTGTATATTTTTCGTGAAATTTTGGAAGTACCCTGTGTTTCATCTTTATTTATCTGCCTTAGAAAAGTCAAATGTCTGGGGTCATTGCTGTGGCATAATGGGTAAAGCTGCAGCCTGCTGTGCTGCATCCCACAGAGACACTGGTTTGGTGCCTGGCTGCTCCACTTGTGCTCCAGCTCTCTGCTATTGCCTGGGAAAGCAGTAGAAGATGGCAGGGGAGACAGGAATAAGCTCCTGGCTCCAGGCTTCTGATCAGTCCAGCTCTTGCTATTGCAGCCAACTGGGGAGTGGACCAGCAGATGGAAGACCTCTCTCTCTCTCTCTCTCTCTCTCTCTCTCTCTCTCTGCCTCTGCTTCTCTGTAACTCTACCTTTCAACTCAATAAAAACAAACAAAAAGTATCTCAAATCTTTTAAGTGAGATGGGCTTTTACCTTAGCTCCATGCAAACCAGTCCCCAAATTCTCATACTCTATTGTTTTTTCACCTTATTTAATAAACGTGTAGTGAGAATTCCTGGGGTGCTGGTTCTTTCTTCCTAGCCTTGAGGAAGGGACCAGCACGGCAGGAAATCACACTGTGCAATTTCCCTGGGCAACCGGAGGAGGGGTCATCTCCCCAGGGAGGTTTCCTCTCCCAAGACAGCTTGGACAGTCGGTGCCGAGGGACCACCACTTATTCCTGGGTCCCACGACTGTGCTGGGCCCTAGGGGCTCCTCAAGAACTGCAGGAGAAACCAATCCACTTGCTGTGTGGGGGTGGGGATTACCGGGCTCATTTCCTACCTGAGATGAGGTTGTAGCTTCCTAGATAGAAACACTGGCCCTGGGGTTCAGCATGATGATGTCCCAAGGAGCTAGATCCGATGCTGTGATGTACCCATCGACTCCTCGTTTCTAGGCTGTGCACGTCCTGAGGAATTGAAGCAGGGAGTCTCTGTTTTTTTCCTAAGTTGTATTTTATTTGAGTGAGAGTGAAGAGGGGAAAGAGATTGCTAGTCAGAGATGGAGAGAGACAAAGAGAGAGAGAGAGAGAGAGAGAGAGAAAGAGAGACAAAGAGAGAGAGAAAGAGAGAGAGAGGGAGGAAGCAGAGAGGGAGGGAGCTCCTCCATCCTCTGATATACCCCCATAGATGACCACCAGGCCTTGGCCAGGCTGAAGCCAGGAGGCAAGAGTTTGGTCATTGTTGTTACAGGAGCCCACAATCCCCAAGTGTCTGGGAGTGCCTCGATTCCTCCCTCCTAGGCGGAGGACCGTCTCGGGGGATGTAGCTTTCTCGGCTGCCACTGATGAGGCCTTCCATGTTTGGACCGCATGGACCGCACTACCTTCTGGGCTTCCAGGGTTTCTGCCGAGAAATCTGATGATGACTTAGGGGGAAAGGGTGACAAAGCCACCTTCCTCTCAGCTCTGGAGATGGGAACTGTGTACCTGACAGTGTCTTGGGCAACAGAACACTTGTCCAGTTTACCCAAACCAGAGAGATTGTTCCATCATTCTGAGACACATCACTCAGGGGGTAAAGGAAGAGGAGGGAACATACTACGTGGAGACACTAGGAGGTCTTCGAAAGATACAACTTATCATTATATTTAAACCAGAAATGAGAAGGCCTCTGAAGCAATCTACAGGTTGGAGTTTCTCAAAAATTAAGTATCAATCTCTATCACCAACCTAGGCCACAATCTCTCCTGTATCCGGGTATCGTTTTTATTTAATTGGCAGATTCTCGAGAAAACCACTGTGGATGAACTACAGCTCCCATTGGTCAATTTCTTGCTCTGACTTCACAAGGCACCACTGTTATGAAAGACGTATTATGACACAGTCCCTGGCTGGGCTGTGATTGGTCCATTTCTTGCTCTGATCTCACAAGGTGCTGCTATGTGAGGTGAGCCCCCAGAAAGTATATATAGCGGCGGCGGGGGCCTAGATTTTCGTCCGCCTTACCCAGAGAGCACTCTTTTGTGATCTGTGTAACTAGGACCCCTCTAACTAGCGTTTGCGCTCGTTGGTGTTGCTTGTGCTTTTTCTTGGTTGTTTGTTTCTGGGTCTATTTGGTTGTTGCTTTTTCCCATTTTGTTTAGTTTGTTGTTTTCCTCCTCGTTGTTGTTTTGCCCATTGGGTCTTTTTTTGCAGTTTTTGTTTATTTTTGCTTCCCCCACTCTAGTCAGCTAGCACGATCAGAAGCATCAGCGTTAGAGTATTTAGCGGCTTTTCCTCTTTGTTGTGTTCTGTTTTATTGAGATAGTCTTGTGGCTTCGCCTTTAGAGTAGTGAGTGTAGCTGCTGCTGTGTCTTAGTCAGCTGGGTAGTCAGTCCCCCGTGGTCCCTTTGTGTTGTAGGCAGTGCAGTGAGGGTCGGTGATTAGCTAGTGTGCGTCGCGTGATTTAGGGAGTCGAGAGAGAGTAGTTAGGTGGCCGGCAGCATGGCCTTCCATCCTCCCCTGGACGGGTTCCGCTTCGTGGAGGTGATCGGCCAGGGCGGCTGCGGCCTGGTGAAGCTGGCCCGGCACCTGGCGTCGGGCAAGTACGTGGCGGTGAAGATCCTCCTGCGAGACTGCTCTCCCAGCAGCACGCTGTCCGCGCAGGGGGAAGCGGCCATCCTGAGGAGCCTGCGGCACGACAACATCGTGCGGCTGCTGGAGGAGCGGCACACCAGGACGCACCTGTTCCTGGTCATGGAGCTGGCGACCAGGGGCTCGCTCCAGCGCTACGTGCTGGAGCAGGGCGGCCTGGCCGAGCCCGAGGCCAGGGCCCTCTTCCGCCAGGTGCTGGCCGCCGTGAGCTACTGCCATGCCCAGCGCGTGGCGCACCGGGACCTCAAGCTGGGCAACCTGCTGCTGGACGAGCACCTGAACATCAAGCTGGCAGACTTCGGCCTGAGCCTGCGGCTGGAGCAGGGCACGCTGGTAAGGGGCTTCTGGGGCACCCCCGAGTACTGTGCACCAGAGGTTTTTCTCGGGGAGGCCTACGACGCATTTAAGGCAGACGTCTGGAGCCTGGGGGTGGTGCTGTTTGCCATGCTGGCGGGCACGCTGCCCTTCCGCGGCAAGGACACGGAGGAGCTGCAGGACACGGTGCTGTGTGCCTGCTATGTGCTGCCGTGTACCGTCAGCCCGGCCCTGCAGGAGCTGCTGGCCTGGCTGCTCACCGTCGACGCCTCGGGGAGGCCGAGTGCGGAGGAAGCCAGGACCCACTGGTGGTTCGGCCCCGGCCGAGAAGCCGCCCAGGAGGTCGAGGAGGACGCGGTCACCCTGCTGCAGCCCCTGGGCGTTCCCCGGGACCCAGAGGCCAAGGAGTACCTGGCGGGCCTCGGACTGCTGCCAGGCAAGGGGACCGAGGGGCAGCCAGGATCTCAGGCCCACAGCCCCGTGTCCCTGCCTGAGTCCTCACGTTGTGGCGAGCGCCACCCCATGGAGGGCGACGGCGTGTCTCTGGTGTCGGTGTCCTGTGACAGCATGGCCGTGGACTACGTTTCCTCCGCACAAAGCAGCTACTCCGAGGCCTCCAGTGAGTCTTGCCCCCTCTCCCCACAAAGCCCCTGCCACTTCAGGGCCTCCAGGAGCTGAGCCCAAAGCCCCCAAGGTGAGCCCACTCTTGACTCTCTCCTACCAGGCCAGCCACAGCAGGAGCGGAGCCGAGCTTTCAGCCCAGCCCCCGACTCCTCCCAGGCCTCCAGTGAGTCTTGTCCCCTCTCCCCACACAGCCCCTGACACCTCGGGGCCTCCAGGAGCTGAGCCCAAGGCCCAACGTGGAGACCCCACTCTTGACTCTCTCCTACCAGGCCAGCCACAGCAGGAGCGGAACCCTGCTCCCAGCGCAGCCCCCGAGCCAGTCTCCAAGGCATTGCCCTCCAGCCCCAGTGCCAGGAGCCCTGTGGACCTTGCTGAGACAGAAGACGCTGCAGCAGCCTGTGAACCTGAAGAGGCTGGGACCGCAGCCACTGCTGACACCACAGGCACCACAGCCAGTGCCCAGGGCAAGAGGCAGGGCCGGCGCGGGGTCGGCAGGAGGATCCTCGGGTTCCTGCGGAGGGCGTGCTGCGTCCTGCGGTCCCGAAGGAGCGGCCCTGGCCTCCGCTGCTGCAGAGTGGTCCCCCAGTAGCCTCACTCAGCCCCCGTCACCAGGAGCAATCCGCAGGCTGAGCTGACTGAACGTTTTTCTTGAGCATTTGAAAATGCTTCTCATGAATAAAATTCACCATGTGTGCATGGCTTTGGTCCCGTGTGACGTTTGGGTCCCTGTGTGCACCTTGGGGAGGTGATGGAGGTACAGGCAGGCGGCTCTCACGGAAAGACAAATGCTGGGCAATCTCACCCATTTGGGGATCACAGAAGGGGTGACCTCATAGAAGTAGAGCAGAGAGTGACGCCTCCCAGAGGCTGGGCCGGGGGAGAGGGACGGAGAGTCTCAGCGTCCACATGGCACAGGCACACGAGGGTCGGGGTCTGAGGTCTCTGGCCCAGCAGGGAGGTCCCAGTCCACAGAGCTGTGCTTTGCAACAGAGTTGTCAGTGTCCGCATCCAACATCTCCTGCATTGTCAAAGGAGAACACTACCCCATTCCCCCGAGGGCCATGCACCTGACCTCTTGGGGTATGGGATCCACCTGCTCTGCAGCCCAACAGCTGTATCTGGAGGGGAGCAGTATGTCCATGCTGCTTTGTTCCCAGCCCACCCAGTGTGAAGCCCGGCTTCAGTAGGGGACGGGGCAGGCCATGTGCCTGGAATCTCTGTGAGGTCTTCCAGTCAGTGGGGTCCTTGGTAGCACCCAACCCTCCCCAAACCCATGTTAGCACCTTGACCATCTATAAGGCCACCCGCACAAAGCTGGGGGAGCTGAATTGATGGCTGGAGGCCTCCTGGAGAAGACAGGACCCCTGCCTCCACCTCAAGGAAACTGGCATGTGGCCCTTCCTCCACCCCTGGTCAGCTTCTCTTCCATGTTCCTGAGAAGGGGAGGTGGGGCTTAGTGAATGACCATATTTCTAGATGGGAGGTTACATGCATGTTCCCCCAAGATGGATCACAGCTCTTTTGCTGCTCACAACGCTCCCGGCACAGAACTGGGGCTGTGGGGGCTCCTGCTTGAGCAGGTGGTCACGTCATACTTGCCATGCCTCTGCAAAGTTACATGGTTATCAGGACCACCCCCCTGAGTGACTAGTTTCTCAGAGCTGTCCTAAAGGGACAGAGCTCTTAGTTGTGTGCAGGGCAGAAAAGCAAACACATATCTGGAAAAGGACTATTATCCAAAACATACAAAGAACGCTTCAAACTCAATTATGACAAAACAAGAAACCCAGCTTAAGAATAGGCCAAAGACCTCAGGAAAGAAGATATATGGATGGTGAACAATCACACATCACAATGCCCACACCACATGGCATCAGGGAACTGCAAATTAGGTCAATAGTGTGACACCACTCCATGCCTATTAGAATGACCAGAAGCCAAACAATGGAGACCACCAAAGGTGAGTGAGTATGTGGCCCAACTGGAAGTCTTACTCACTGCCAGTGGGAATGCAACCTGGTGCAGCCGCTTCGGAAGACGGTTTGATGATTTCTTACAAAATCAAGCATTCCTTCATTATCCATATGAAGCAGTCATCTTGCTCCTTTGTATTTACACAAATGAATTGAAAACTTATGTCCATACAAATACTCAAGAATGTTCCTAGCAGCTTTATTCAGAATTGCGCAAACTTGGGAATACCCAAGGTGTCTTCCAACAGCTGAATGGATGGTGAACTGGTAGACCCAAATGGTGGGAGATTATTCAGCCCTGAAAAAGTCATGGGCTAGCAATGACATGGGGAGAACTTGAATCCATATTGCTCTGCGAGAGAATGCCATGTGAAATCTGAGAATCAGGTCGCATACTGTGACTTCAACCCTAAGGCGTTCTAGGAGAGATGTGGTAAACAGATCTGAGGTTGCTGGTTGTTTAGGGTGAGGAGGGGAGGAGCAGGCAGGGCGCTGAGGATTTGGGGGCAGTGAACGATCCTGTAGGATTCTATAATGGTAGACGGGTGTCATTATGCACTTGACCAGACCATGGACTGGACAACACGTCCCCAGTGAACCACAATTTAAGCCTTGGACTCCAGGTAATAACAACAGATCCATATTGGTGTATCTCTTATTTACAAAAGTAAACACCCAACTTAAACTCCACTCGTCAATATTACTACTAATAAGTATCAGTGGGCAGGACACATTCAAGAATAGTTCTATTTTCCAGTTGAGACCATGATTTGCAAATGTGTTGTTTGGCTGAACTCTTCTTATTCTTCAGGTGCCTTCTTGTCTAAAGTAAATCAACTTGATTCAACTGCATGTGGCCAGCATTCCCTTTTTGAAGCCAAAAGTGGTTATGCAGTCACGTGTGATACAGGCTTTTCTTTCTTTCTTTGTTGCTTTTTTTTTTAAATTTGTTTATTTAGTTGAAAGACAGAATTAAAGAGAGACAGAGAGAGAGGTCTTCCATCTGCTGGTTCACTCCCTAAATGGCCGCAACTGCTGGAGCTGGACAGACCCAAAGCCAGGAACCAGGAGCTTCTTCCAGGGTACAGAGTGGGTACAGGGGCCCAGGGACGTGGCCATCTGCTGCTTTCCCAAGCACATTAGCAGGGAGCTGGACTGGAAGTGGAGCAGCAGTGGCTCAAACCAGAACCATTGTAGGATGCCAGCATTTCTGGGTGGCAGCTTTACCCACTATGCCACAGCACTGGCCCTGGGATAGAGAGGTTTCTGTACGATGTTCCTTCTTTGGCCAGATCCAGATCATTACATATAATCCTTTTACTTTGGCAAAGGATGCCGTCACTATACACTCAGGCCATGTCTCCTACCAAGTTCTGTGTGTTATGGAGGGCATGTGACACAAAACATGCTTCTGAATTTTTGACCAAAATTCTGTCCCATTCCTCTTTATATTACTGATCACACTGGTGTCACTGTCATAGACTTGCCCTTGACAATCTTTTAAATCAAATTATAAGTAGTATCCTTTTTAGATTTATTTATTAATTCAAAAGGCAGAGTGACAGAGAAGGAGAGAGGGAGAGGAGCCAGGAACTTCTCTGGGTCTCCCACATGGGTGGCAGGGGCCAAGCAGTTGGGCCATCTTCAGTGACTTCCCTGGCACATTAGCAGGGAGCCAGATCAGATGGGAGCTGGTGCCCCACCCTGGGGGGCTTAACGTGCTGCCTTGCAGGTTCACACAGGCCTGCAAGTAGTTTCTTCTCTCGATTCTTTCCTTAAGTCACATCAGGGCTGAGACCAGTTAAATATGCAAGCACGCTTCATCTAGACCCTCATGTTTACAAATTTTTAGAAATAGGAAGCAAAATTGCAAAATGTTCCTCAGCTGCTACTGTAAATACTACATTGATTTCTTCTTATTTTTAAAGAGATTTGTTTATTTATTTGAAAGTCAGAGTTACACAGAGAGAGGAGGAGAGGCAGAGAGAGAGAGAGAGGTCTTCCATCTGCTGGTTTACTCCCTAGGTGATCACAACCGCCGGAGCTGTGCTGATCCCAAGCCAGGAGCCAGGAGCTTCCTCTGGGTCTTGCATGTGGGTGCAGGGGCCCAAGGCCTTGGGCCATCTTCTACTGCTTTCCCAGGCCACAGCAGAGAGCTGCATCAGAAGTGGAGTGGCAGGACATGAACTGGCACCAATATGGAATGCCTGCATTGCAGGTGGTGGCTTTACTTGCTACACCACAGTGTCACATTCCTCTTCTTCTTCTTTTTTTTTTTTTTAGTGTTTATATTTATCCTTATCTACTTGAGAGGCAGAGAGAGATACCTTTGTCTCTCTCAGCTCTGTCCCAGCTGCTCCACTCCCTGCTAATGCACCTGGGAAAGCAACAGAAGATAGGCCAAGTGCTAGGCCCGCGCACCCGCTGGGAGACCTGGAAGAAGCTCCAGGCTCCTGGCTTCAGCCTGGCCCAGCCCTGGCTGTTGCAGCCATTCTGGGAGTGAACCAGCAGATAGAAACCCTCTCTCTCTGTGTTTCTCCCTCACACTCTGAAACTCTGCCTTTCAATTAAATGAATAAATCTAAAAAAGAAAGAAAGAAAGAAAGAAAGAAAGAAAGAAAGAAAGAAAGAAAGAAAGAAAGAAAGAAAGAAAGAAAGATCTAAGTCGAAAACCAAGCAATCAGAAGACCTGGACTGAGCTCCTGTTCACTCCTGGGAACATTTGAGGAGTGAACCAGTGGGTGGGAGTGCGCTCTCTCTCTCTCCCCTCTGGCTCTCCAAGAAAAAAAGTGTGGCTCTGCATTTGCAAAATCCCAGCTCACTCCAAGGGTGGTCTGGGTCTACAGCTGATGGAAATCCTCTCGTAGAGGGTCCCACCGACACAGAGACGGCCTTTGCACGCTTCCTGGTGTGCAGATCTGCTGCTTATTTGCTCAAGTGCAGACACATGAAGCCCCAGGGAGCATCCAGGAGCGGCCGTGCCCCGGGGAGCTGTTCAACCTCAACTTTGCAAGAGAGCTTCAGGCTGAAGATACAGATTTAGAGATGCGCTTGCACAGGGGAGAGGAGGCTATGACGGAACAGAAAGGAGATGGGAAGGGCAATGTCTCTGAAGCGGGGCGGGGGTGGAAGCTGTCTGTGGCATCAGCTCGCCAGGCAAGTCAGACTCCTGAGGAGAGGGTAAGGCTGGTGGGATCAGAATCTGGGAAGGAAGGAGCGCATGTTCCCCAAGATGTGCAACTGGGGGCAGGGGCATGGGCATTTGCCGCCCAGCGTGCCTGCATCCCAGAGTGGAGTGCCTGGTCAAGTCCTGACGCCTCTGCTTCCAGTCTGGCTTCCCGCTAATGTGCACCCTGGAGGCAGCAGGGGAGGGCTCAGGTACTTGGGTCCTTGCCAGCCAGGAGGGGAGACTGGGATTGAGTCCAGGCTCCCCATGAACCAGCACATAGAAGATCTTGCTCTCTGTCTCTTTACCTTTCAAGTGAAAATGATTAATAAGTTTTATTTAAATAAAGGAATAGGGGAAAGGATGTATGGAGGGACAATAACAACATCGGCAGCAATAACCATCGTACCAGACGATGGACAAAACTCGTGTGTCCTCTACTTTCCTTTGTTCGGAGAAATCAGCGTTTTGTGCTCAGAGCCTGGACACACTGGGGGTAGAAATTCTGCAGTCTGATGTAGCAGACACTGGGGAGCTGATCAAGGCGCAGCTGACCA